GTAAATAATATTGGCAAAATATAGTAGGGATTGCTAGTTGAATTAAATAAAAATATTAACCCCTATAACATGGAAACTTGATGGACGTTTGATGCTATTTTAATAGATAGAATATACAGAATAGGAAGTAAATTTGGAGTTGGAATGATACTACAAATAATAACTTCATTTTGGATAAGCTGAGTCTGAGGTTTCTTAGGACATCTAGTGCAAATGTTAAAGTAATGATTGATTATTTGCATTCAGAGGTCTGGAATCATTGACATAATAATGTCCTAGCAATGAATGACATTGCCTAGGAATGTGAAGACAAGAGATTTCACAGCTGAGCCTCAATAAAATCCTACATTCAGATGCCAAGTAAAGAAAGGTGATCGGAAAAAGAAGTGATAAATAGTATAAACGGGAAGAATTTCCACTAAATGTAGGGGACTGATATAGACAGAAGACGTATTTTTTTTTTTAATCTTTTATTTATTTCTAGGAGAGAGAGAGAGACAGCGTGAGCAGGGGAGGGTCAGAGAGAGAGGGAGTCACAGACTCTGAAACAGGCTCCAGGCTCTGAGCTGGCAGTCAGCACAGAGCCCGATGCGGGGCTTGAACGCACGAACCGCGAGATCATGACCCAAGCGAAAGTCGGCCGCTTAACCGACTAAGCCACCCAGGCGCCCCGACAGAAGACGTATTAAGAGGCAAATATTTGAACACTGAAAGACAGCTTAGGAGAAGGAGAGACTAAGTGTAGATGACTGTTTCATGAAAGTTGCTTCTAAATGAAAAATAAAATGGCAGCAGGACAGGTAAATTACATACACACACACACACACACACGCACACACACCCATAATGGGAGCATTTATGGATTCAGGAAACAGAAAAGATCACCAATAGTTAAATAAATTCCTCAGTCATCTAAATAACACAGTGAGTAAAACGATGAAATTATAAAAATAAATCAGAAATCATTGTTTGCAAATAAAAAATAAGGAAGATTAGAATGGTTTTAAAACGTCAAAAGCTGTTTATATACATACAAAAAAATCTAGAACCTAAGGGGAAAGCAAGAATAGGTACAAACACTCAGAATTAGAAATGAAAAGGGAATAATACTCCCTGAAAGAGGAAATTGAAAATACTATAAAAACACTTTAAAAATTCTTATCCAAGTGAATTTTAATATCTCATTGAAAGAGATGATTTCCTGCAAAAATGTAAATCATTAAAAACATATCTCAGGAGGGATCCAAAATCTCAACAGATCTTAGCAGTGGAAGAATTTGGGACAATCATCAAAGTACTTTTTTCCAGGCATTCATCCAAAGGGATATATTCAGCTGTATTCATGGGTAAAGTATATCACTCTCCCAGGAAAAGGAAAGACATTTCTGATATTTATATAAACGATACCAAAGCATAGTCTTCTTGTTGTGCACCTCTTGCAAACAGAGGTGCCCACAACCTTTTGTGTAAGACTAACTTCTCAGGATTGTGTAGAGAATAGCCTGGAAAGCCACAGTGTCTACCTCCAGAACAGGGCGATTCTGTTTGCGGTCCAGTGTAATATGATATCTCTCTGAGGCAAATGTTGAGTAGATGGTGTGTATCCCCTAATAGAAAACTAAAGTGTCCTAATCTTGGGTTCCTCAGCTGCCATGCAGGCCCCTTGCTAAAGCATTAACCCTCTGCCCCCCACCCCATGGACTTCAAGGAGGTAACGTGAAATAATATGGCCATGAAGCTCATGCTGTTTGCTCTGCTGTAACAGGGTCCTTTTGCTGATCCAGAAGTTGTGTGCCCTTCTTTGTAGCACACCATAGCAGGCTAATTTGTTAGCTTCTGAATGGGGCAAAATCTCAGACCATTCATAGTACTTTCCATTTATGTGTTTTTATTTATCTGGAAACTTTTGGTTTTTGTTTCCATCTCTGGCACCACCGTCTACTCACTTAGCCTGATACTTATCCTTCAGACCTCATTGACACCTTATGTATGAGCTAAACAACCACTTATATGCCCATAGAACATTTGGATATTGTATATTAGAGTTCATTATGGTAGATTGTTATCTGTATTACCAGTTATATTTTCATTAGCATCAAGTTGGAAATTATGTCTGCTTGCTTTAGTTTCATGGGTGACATCTAACATAATGTCTGTTATAAGCAGTCAGTAAATTTTGAAGAACTAATCTAAGTCCCCAGAACTCTGATACACTAGATGTTTAATAAATTATATATGTTCTTCTCAATAATGGTATAACTAGTATAAACATCCTTTCATTTTACTTTCTGGATTTATTTGGCTGAGAGAAATTGTTTTGGTTTATTAGTTCTTTTGAAATTTTTTTCCTGATTATCTAAATTTGTTTCTTTCATCTGCAAACATGATTTTCTTTTAAAGTATGTGTTTGGGATGGACAGTGATTGGATACTCCTGAAGGTTGAAGGTTTGTTTACTTTTTGTTTATTTCCTTTGTTACCAGGATTTTATAACATGTCAGGAATCACTAACTGAATAAATTAGCTAAATTTTTAAAAAGATTTCTTAGACAAAAATTATAGTTTGTAAAATTAATTATTAAAAATAGATAAAATATGGAAACTTTATGGTAATATTTTATTTATGAGCATAGTATAAATAATTATTGCATTTACAATATGAAATAAGATGCTGAGATTCTACAGAAAAATGTTATTAAAAGAGTAAAAAAGTGGGCTTCCCTTAAGTTTTTGTTAATTTTCTTCTCTATAGTTCCTTCACTTGACCTTTTCCCCCCACTCTTTATAATCTTTATTCAAAGTACACTGCAAACTAAGTTTAGTACTTTAAATAAGGGCATAAGCAGAAGTCAAAAGTAGATACTCTTGAACAGCTTACCTTAAGGAAATGAAAGCTTGAGATCAGTAAAAACTAAATATCAGTTATATGTTAACTTAGACAAAATGCTTTTTCAGGTAGAAATTTTATTTTAAAGTCTGTAGACACAGTGCAGAGTTTATTTTAAAAAATCACAATAGTGGTGTCAATAATCATAGTTTTACAGGTATGTTAGAGAATTAGCAAAAAAAAATTGCAAAATCCCATAGCTCCAGTTTGAAGTAAGTCATAGGAGAAAGAATATTACTGAAGAGATAGATGGAAATAAAGGAAAATAAAATAAAATATATAAGCACAGATTTCTCTGATGTTAATGGACTCACATGATATTATGAAAATGCCTTTGAGTTTAACATCCCCAGAAGGATTATGTGTGAAATATATAGAGAGTCATTGAATGGTAATGAATAAGGTAACTTTATAGTGCAGGAAGAACACTTTCCTAGAGTTCCAAAAGAATACTTTCACCTTTCCTGTGCCTTAAGGATTCTAAAATGTTATGTACTCTTACACCATCCAGAGAAAGTGCTGGCTACAGGAAAAGGTTGAGAGCTTTAGCTCTTTTTGAACAAAAGCTTTGACTGTTTGTTCTGAGAAGCCTGTTCTTACAAGCTCCAAATTATGGGCCCCGATGGTGTTGGCATTTTTATCCTTACTGTTTGCTTTCAGTTTTCTTTATTGTTGAACAATGGCAACTGCACCTTGTGACCAGGGTTTACAGAGCTTTGTTTCTAAGTAGATGTTGACAACTATCCCTCTTTCACTTAGTTTTTTAGGGAAAATCAGCAGTAACATATATATATATATACCTTAACAAATATACTCATTAAGTAAGAAGATATTTTGTCATCATATTTTAAAATTTATGTTCTCCTAGTAAGGAATATTTTAAATTCAAGTTTTTCATTCATCTTAAAGGTTGATATAATTTTTACTTTTTCTTTACATCTGTAGAACATTTGTTTTTCCACTGCAAATTCCATATATATATATATATATATATATATATATATGGAAAGAATTATATATTAAAGAATCTAAATGTATCAACCTTTAACTCTAAAATGTCTTGGTATTCATTGCGAAAGTACCTAATCAAAGCCAAAATTTTAAAAAGTGGCAATGTTTTCAGGGTATTGGTGATAGAAGACTTACGACTCATTTTTCTTTTCCAAAATAACAGTAATTTGTTCAAAAGTGCAGTAAGGTTCTCTAAGGACCCTCGCTTCACACAATATATATGTAGTGCACCCAAAGGAAAATCAATGTAGACACATCAACTCAGACAGGCTGTTATCAACATGTTACAGAACCTAAAATCAACCTGAAAGATGACCTTTCCAAATCTGGAGAAAAACACACTCCCAAATTTCCCAGTCATTCTCTCTCAATGGAGACAAAGGTAGAAAATGTGGCTTTAAAACTATATGGTCTCCTGTGAATCGTTTCAAAAATTGAAGTTCCTATTGGAAGTAGCATTTAAGAATGAGACAAAACTTTGGACTGCATTATTTGACATAATATGACACATTCACATATTTTCTTGGTTGTGTGACCTAATTTAGAGATGTAGTCATTACTAGTATGTTACTCCTGATGCTGACGTAAAGGGACTTGCAGCTACCCAAACATATAGGAAACATTCAGTTTGTCCATTTTAATTTAATACTTTATGAAGTACTTTCACGTTATTTAAAGAAATTGGTTATGATTTTTCTCTGTTTCAAATGTTTTAGAAAACTTATTTAATAATAACTGTATCCAAGCAGGCTAGGCAATTATTAGCCTCATATTAGGAAATTAAGGAAACCAGAATTTAGAGAAGTCCACTTTTTCAAGTTCACAGAGATAATAAGTGACAGCAATCTACTATGCAAAAGTTGTTGACATTCTCATGGTCTTCAAGAATTGCTATATCATGGAGCATACTTTTCTAGGTGTGATTAGGTATTAGTGGTTTAGAAATAGATATATGAAAGTGTACAAAAACCTGCTTTGAACATTAGTTCTTCTAAGTTACTTTAAAAATGTGTATTAGTATAGTTCTGAGTATTTTCTTATCATAAGCAGTGCTTAAGCAAATAGTTTTCAGTGTTTTTTTTTTGAATCTTACTGTTTTACAGAAATCATATGGAACAACTATGGAGTTCTCTGTCATGCCCTGCCTTTGAGAATATGGAAGCAAACAAATTTCCTTGGGTGGAAAGAAAATGAAAGAATCAAATTTTTCTATATGAGTTAATCACATTGATTTCTATGTTCTCATCCTAAAATTTTTATGGGTGGTATTCTACAGAAAAAAAAATATATGTAGTCAGAGAAGCAACATTATGAAACAAAAGCTTAACTTTAGGTTTAGACCATCCAGTCTATTAGAGCCACTAGCTTGTAAGAGGGACCTTAACTATGATAAACTAGCCTTTTGTTATTAGGAATGTGTCTGGATGTGCACTTGTGTATATATGCAATACCCACAGTGTTTACACAAATAAATTATTTCAAAGATATAGGAAGCATTCACACATTTTTTAAATCAAAGTGATTGGGATAAAGAGGAAAAGAAGACAAGTCTTAATCTAATATGTAAAAGAGAATCAAGTTTTTCTCACTGTTATCAGAACATTTCTTTGGCAGTAGGTGGACTATAAAAATTAAGACCGAAATTCAAGAATGTCTTATTAAATCATGAAACAAATATATACTAATTGTTATGAGTACACAATTGAATGGGTGAGTCCCACCTTCAAAGAGCCCATAAATTCAGTTGTTCTAGTGAGGGAGATGGCATTTGAAATGAGCTTGGAATGTTCAGTAGGATTTCCTTAAATGGCAAAATTGAAGAAGGTCCTCTCACTCAAGTGAAATGAGTAAGCAAAAGCACAAGGTATGGCAAGTGGTTCTGTATTTTTGTAACACAGGTGTCAAGGCTTCCTTCTCAGTTGCTGTAAGGTCATTTTCTGTGTATCCTCTGGAAATAGCATAATTAGGAATTTTGCAAACCATGTGTCTCAGGTCATCATGGTAGGTAGCTATTTCCCACTATACATTGGTCTAATTCCTGTATATTAGGGATGAGTGTCAGATGGCTACAGACATTTGAGAAACATGCATATACTTTCACTACCCATACCTGAACCAAAATATACTGGAATCCACTAGACATTAACAATGAACTAATGAATACATTTTAAAGGAATGAATCACACAGTAGAATAATGAATACAGGTAGATGTCAGGAGTAGGAAAATATTCATGTCTGTAGCACTTTTAGAATAGATTACTCTCCTTCCTTTCCTTCCTTCCTTCCTTCCTTCCTTCCTTCCTTCCTTCCTTCCTTCCTTCCTTCCTTCCTTCCTTCCTTCCTTCTTTCTTTCTTTCTTTCTTTCTTTCTTTCTTTCTTTCTTTCTTTCTTTCTTTCTTTCTTTCTTTCTTTCTTTCTTCTACAAGACCTCAGTACCTAGGCCTTTTGAAAGTGGCATCTATGGATATGCACTAGGCTTTACGAGGTTATTCCAAAGAGAATAGCTATCATCCTCCTCTCTCCCTGATCTTTACACTTCCTGAAATCCTTTCTTTTGGTCTTTCCCTTTCTACTACTGCCCCTCCCTCCCTCACTACATCACAGAAATACACTCTCAAGGTCACTTTTCCTATGGAATAAATAAGTCCAGATTCCTTCTTTTTGTTTAGTAAAATATGTGGTGTCAGATATTACAAATTTACAGTTTCTTTCTTTTTTTCCCTCTACCCACATTTGGGGATGAATTTAGAGAAGAAATAGAAAAAATAGGGAAAGGTTATAGTAGAAATAAAGATAATGCTTTCTATTCTGGAATTGGAGAAGTTTCCTTCTTAAGAATCTAAATTCTTTTGGAGCTCAATGACTGATGATTTAACAAACACCTTCTTTTCTCTTCTATATATGTTCTCTTCATTTCTATTACCAATATTCTACTCCTATTTTTGTGAAGTATTTTTTGCCTTCTTATCACTAAGTCAGAAAAAATGTCTGTGGGTATGATGGCATGTCTTTTTTTTTTTTAATGTGTTATTTATTTTTGAGAGAGAGGTAGAGACAGCATGATCAGGGGAGGGTCAGAGAGGGGAGGAGTCATAGAACTCGAAGACAGGCTCCAAGCTCTGAGCTAGCTGTGAGCACAGAGCTTGACGTGGGGCTCGAACCACGAACTGTGAGATCATGACCTGAGCCGAAGTCGGACACTTAGCCGACTGAGCCACCCAGGTGCCCCAAGATGGTATGTCTTTAAACCCAAGATTACTCTCATCACCATGGAGGTGAAAAAATAATTGTATACGTAACAAAATCATAAATGCATTGATGTACTGAAAAGTGATCTAGGATTGAAGAGTACTTTATGGATCATACAAATGGAAACATTCATATAAAACAAAAATTGCTTCCATATATCTATGAATATTATATAAATTAAAGGCCCCAGATTTCTGATTCATTCACTTGGTATTTACAGATGACAAATACATACCATTTTGATGTAAAATTTCTGGGTCAAAATTTGACCCTTTCTCTTTATAGTCATATTATCCAAGAATTTCCCTTATCTACTTGAAATACCAAATATCCAGTAACTTATATACATAAAAGTATTTAAATTTCAGCAAAACAAATGAATGTGTTTTTATAATATAGGCATTATGTTAGATTCTATATATTTAGATGATTACAAAAGCCAGTTGGGTAAAATAACATCTGTTTAGAATGAAGAAGGCACTCAGATGTGGTTATAATAAAATAGACAGTGGAAATTTTGACTTAAAAGCACAATCTAATTAAAATAAACCACTACAAAAGTCCAATAATATAGTTATTTCATTTAACAACTAAATATTGAGCATCTATTTGTTCCAAGCTCTTTTCAACAGTGATTGGGATACAGCGTTGTACGTTACTGTATCAGTGAACTCGGCATACAGACATAGACAAAAGAAACAATGACATTTTCTTTCATGGAATTTATAGAAGAGTGAAGGAGTATAGAAAATTAAGCCTAATAAGTAAGTTAATAATATATGAGTAGGTGATACATGCTATGGAAATTAATAAATGAAGTAATGGAGATCAGGGATGGTTGGTATGGAGATAAGTTTTCAGTTTTCTATAGAATGATTAGAGTTGGCTTTATTTGAAGATAACATTTGAGTCCTGAATGGACAAAAATAAGAGGCATGTGTACACCTTTGAGAAAAAATTCAAGGGAAAAGAAATTGTGCCATTGCCTTCAGATAGAAGTTTCTCTGGGCTCCCTCAATAAACTCCCCAGGCACAGTGTGGCTGAGGAGAGTTAGCCAGGGATGCAGTAGTCCAACATACTGAAGGAGTAATAAGTATGAGTAACAAGTACACCAGATCTAGTATGATATAATGAAAACTTTGGTCAGAGATCCAGACCCTGTTGTTTGAAAAGAAGAACTGGTTTCTTAAGGAACGACAACTTAATGCCACTTAAATGCATTAAAGAAACAAGCAAACAAAACAGCATGATTTTTCCTCAGAGGGATCTTCAGCTATTAACTAGGTAATTCTGAAGAAAAATAATACTTAATTATTATATACTTAATAATAGTTTTTAAGAGGTATATAGGGAGTCTGCACTAACAATAATACCTGGTAACCCTATAAGATTCCTGTGGTTAAAATAGGAACAAATAGATTGTGGGTATGCAGTGGTGTTTGAGTCAAGTTTACCTTTCAATGGGTCTAGTGAGTCCATGGAATCATTCTGGGGTTATTTTTCAGTCTTTGAATGAGTAGTTGCTACAGATACTCAATAATGGTACAATCCTCATGTCGGTTTTCAGAGCTGAGAAGCCATTATGGTAGAAGAGATCCATGTGGATAACCAATAATTTCACTCTAACTGAGGGAGGGAATTGTAAATAATATTAGAACAACGATCAACATTAAAGTTTCAGGGTGGTAGACCCTATCATATCTGACTCCATCCATGTGTCGGGCTCCTATACAGACAAGATAGACTGTGATATATGTGGGCCCAAATAAACTTAACTACATGATAACTTCAACTGGGCAGCTTGTGTTGGAAGTGGTGTCTTTACTAGAACAAATCTACTTAGTATATGATTATTAATCTGATAGATGCATACTTTTAATCATGAGGATTATATCAATCATGAGAAATAAAAATAGCTCACTTTTATGTGCAAAGGACAGTAGCACACATTTGTGATCATGCCATAAATGATATTCTCCTGCTCTCTCTCACCACATAAAATAGGTCTTAAAGTTTTGACATTCTGCACAATATTCTCACTCTTCACTATGATGATGCCAGTGCTAATAAGAAGTGGCAAACAGAGGGGCACCTGGGTGGCTTAGTCGGTTAAGTGTCCGACTTTTGCTTAGGTCATGATCTCGCGGTTCGTGGGTTCAAGCCCCGCGTCGGGCTCTGTGTTGACTGCCAGCTCAGAGCCTGGAGCCTGTTTCAGTCTGTGACTCCCTCTCTCTCTGACCCTCCCCTGCTCACGCTGTCTCTCTCTCTCCTAGAAATAAATAAAAACATTAAAAAAAAAAAAGAAGTGGCAAACAGAATGTAGCAATTATAAAAGATTCCTATTAAGATACATGCTTGTCAAGGTGGAAAGAAAAAAAAAAGAAAAAAATTCTTCTGACCTGGTAAAATATTTTAGAATATCAATGATTTGGGCCATTCTGCAACATTTCCTCTAAGAAAAACTGAATTGTATGCCTAACACTAAGAAACTGACTCTGTACTGGTGAATAAATGTATACCATCGTTGGGAATACTGTCTACAATTTTTTTTTCTTCTGATGAAAGGTTACCTTTTTTCAGTGGATTCCAAAGCAAACAACAACAATAACAACAACAACAGTAACAACAACTCTCTTGAAGGTAGCTACTGGCTACCACCCACCCTACCACTTGGGCTACATGAAGTAGCCGGACATATTTGTGTTGTATAAAAATACAGTGCTGAGTGTCTAGTGAGGCAGTATATAAAAGAATTCCAAGAAAGATATTAGAAAGAGAAAAGCCATGTTTTAATTTTGGCGGAGAAATAATTACCATTTTGAAAATATCGCCTCATTTGTTCCTGGGGCTTAATAGAAACTAAATGTTTGACTACAAGACACTTGAAGTTGTCCATCTTGAGCAGGGACTTATCAGATCTCCTGAGTCATAATGTCAGGAAGGTACAGCTGCAATATGTCTTCTGAAATGAAATAATAAAGAGCAGACTTAACCAGATAAGTTGGCTCAATTAAATTATATGATCAGGACTATGGTCAGAATATCTGTGTCCTCATTATTTATATGTGGGAATCCTAACTCCCAAGGTGATGATGCAGGGACTTTGAGAAGTGGTTAGGTCCTGAGGGGATAACCCTTATGAATAAAATTAGTACCTTTGTCATAGAAGCCCCAGAGAGCTCCCTTACCCTTTTTACC